GCCATTTTTATGAAATTTGCTCCCAAGTTTGAACACCTATAGGAGTCAAGCAGATGTCTTACTTGGTGAGGTAGACTGAGTTTAAACAATGAGTGGAAAGGAAGTGGCAGATGAAGAAGACTAACCTCCTCCAAAGGAAGCAGCCCCTCCTCAGCTCTAGCCAGTTATGGCTACGTGTTAAGACCAACCCTGCATTGCCAGATTTTTTTTCCCCTAGATGAACTAGAGATCTGGACTTCTATGTGGAATTTTCTGATGTTTTGTGCAAGGACAGGTGGGTTAGCTCAGTTGGTTAGTGCATGGTGTTGATTATACCAAAGTCAGGGGTTCAGATCCCCATACTGGTCAGGTGCGAAAAATAAAAAATAATTTTTATAAAAATTATGCAAGTCACATCAGATTATGTTCTTGTCTAGATATGTATAATGATTTAGTAGGGTCGCAAAATAAAATATCACTTTCAGGGATAGAAGAATTCATCTTAACCAGAAAGTACCCAAATTTGTTCCAGATTACTATTTTTTTTTAAATTAAATTCTCCATGCCAACTATACTTATGTTGAAAACTCCTATTCCCTAATTTAAGTACAGTTTGGTTTAAAATTGTATATTTTTAAATGGCTATATATCCCTTTACTCATAATGTGTCCTTTTGCTGATTTGTCTTTTATGTTTTGAAACAGGAATTGAATAATGGACTCCACAGGGCTAATGCACTCACATATATTTTTCAAGAACATGAATATTCACTTTTTGTGGAGAATACCAACATTAATAAAGCAAATGTATTTCACAGGGCCTAGCTTCCAAAGCCATGTAGTTTAAAGTATAGCCTAACTTTTTAGTACTTAACATAGAAATGCTAAGCTTGGGAAAAACAGAAAACTTTACCAGGACTAAAGTCTCAGTCGTAGATAAGAAAATTGTAACACAGCAAATATGCTTGCTCTGCAGTCGTCCTTGGTGCAGCTAAACCTCATGATGGGAAAAGTATAATGATTATCTCATTGTTCTTTTTGTAACCACCTATGTTCCTTTTCTGTAACTTTCTTGCCTGGAGAATAAAAACTGGGAGAAAACCTGATTCAGGGTTATTTTCTGAGGAATCCTCTCTTGAAGGACTTGCGTGGAATTAACCCTTTTGGGCCTCTCACTGCTCAGAAGAAATGGGCTTTGAGTAATCCTTTGCGTCTCCATCACCCTGGGAGAGGTGAATTTTCAAAGCAATAGAATGTTTAAAAGTTATTTGGGCTAGTATTTTTCCATATAAGACTACTGTACTTAAACATCATAGTTGCTTACATAAATTATAAGCTTATGATTCAGAAAACACTAAGTGCTTACTGTGTGCCAGCCAATATGGGGATATAAAAAATAGATAAAACTGGCTTCTATAGGCAAGAGAATGCAACTTTTTAAAGTTTTATTTATGTATATTATCATTTTTTTACATTCTAAGAGATTGTGGAGCAGTTGGAGAGGGGGAGAGGTGAAGGGGGAAGGAAATAGGGTGGGAACGGGAGATGGAGGGAGGCATGGTTGATTCCTTGCAGGAGAGACAAGGGGGCTTCCATTGGTGGCTTGGTTGTTGTAGGAGAGACCAGGGGGCTTCCATTGGTGGCTTGGTTGTTGCAGGAGAGACCAGGGGGCTTCCATTGGTGGCTTGATTGTTGCTCGGCTGAATGCACATGTCAGGAGGGTGTGGTTGAAGCCCTCAGCTCCCCACCACCTCAGTTCAGGAGACCAGGGGGCTTCCAGTGGTGGTTTGGTGGTCATCACTGGGCTGGTTTCAGATGTCGGCGGTGTGTGGCCAAAACCCACCAGCCCCCCAGTACCCTGGCTCGGGAGCCTGGCACTTCCTGCAGCGGCTGAGTGGTCGTGGCTGGGCTGGTTATGTCAGTGGGCATGGCTGAGGCCCAAGGCCCCCAGCCCCCCTTAGCGCCAGCTCAGTAGCCCAGAGCACTTACTGCAGCCACTAAGTGGTCATTGCTGAGCTGGTTGCAGGTGTCAGGGGCCATGGCTCAGGCCCCAGCCCTCTCCCCTCCCTGGCTAGAGAGCCCAGGGGCTTCCGGTCCTTCTAGGTTTTATAGGTGTTCTTTGGTGATGTGAGACCTTTACTAGTTAATATCAATCTTTGTCTCTCGTCTGTGGGTATTGTTTTTTCTTTTAGTTCTGTGTTGGATTATTTGCTGTTCCTGCCACTTAAACTCTGCACTGGAACTAGTTTGTCATCCTTTGCTTACTTCTAAAATGTGGGAACTTCCTGTGGGGACCAGTACTTGAGCCCTGTGATTGAGCAAAATTGCTGCTTTACTGCTTGATTCCCTAGGGGAAGGCTTTTTGTGCAGCTCAGGTTTTTTTTTTTTTTTTATTCCGTGTCCGGCAACGGATCGCAACCCTCAGTGTTGTGCCCGTACCGGACCGGGACCGGCAACGGGATCGCAACCCTCGGTGTTGCGCCCGCACCTCGCTCAGCCAGTGAGCGGGAACCGGTCTGTATGTGGGATCCGAACCCTCGGTGGGAGCGCCGCCACGCTCCCAAGCGGCGCACTGTAGCAGTGCGCCACCGGGCCAGCCCGCAGCTCAGGTTTTAATGGTTGACTTTGTAAGCACTTCCAGGTCTCGTGAGATTTAGTACACCTGGGTTGTGTAGAAACTCTGGTTTGGACCTGAGTCTTTTCAGCAAACTGCACCCCCTGCAGTTCTGTATTCCTGACCAGTCTACACAGAGTGGCCCTGTGCTGATTATAGGGTGGATCAGCTGTCCTTGCTGTGCCCCATTGTTCTCCTGGTGGGCCCATCTCCCCCACCACCTCAGTTCAGGAGACCAGGGGGCTTCCAGTGGTGGTTTGGTGGTCATCACTGGGCTAGTTGCCAGGATTTGGGGATTCCTGACACACTGGCTAAGACAAAAATGAGCTCATAAAGAGACAATGCTATTACTAGAAAGTGTATTTTGAAAATCCCTATACATATGCTATTGTGTGTGCAGAGTGGTGTAACTAGTTCATCTAGCGTTTCTCTCAAGAAGCAAGTGAAAATAGGGCAAGTATTTCTTACAGGTAGGTATTTTTTCACTTCTATGAATAACACTCAAACTTTGGTCAGATTATGCATAAAGGTGTGATGCTGCATGTGTGAAATGTAACTGAACTTTAACAGGGATGATGGTGTTAATTGGCTCCATCCAGAACTGTGGGGGGAGGCATTATAATTTAAATAGAGCAGGAGAATGGAAGGAATGGGATTTAGCAGGAAACCATCATAGATGCCTTTTGAAGTAGGGTATAAATTATAGATAAAAGCTGGCTAGTTAGCTCAGTTGGCTACAGCGTGGTGCTGATAACATCAAGGTCTGGGGTTCGATCCCTGTACTGGCCAGCTGCCAAAAGAAAAAAATCAATAAACCAAGAGAATGCCTTTTCCCTCTTCTTTGAATGGCCAGATATGGAAGGGAAGAAGCAGCAGACATTGTGTTTTCTTGACAACTGTATCTCCTAATTTTAGGCTCAGACACCAGAACCAGTACTGACATTACATGAAGATGAACAGTATTCCAGTTCATATGTCATTAGTAGAAATGGTGCTCACAGACGGAGATGAGCGATGTGAGTCTTAAGTTCTTGTTCCTCCTTCTAGTCAGCATAAGGTGTGCGACTAATACAGCAGAAATTAATGCTAAATTGCTCATAAAAGCATCCTTGGCGTTTTCCTTAATTTCTCAAAGGAATGACAACAAAGCTCAACAAGAATCTCTCTTCCAGATTTCTTCTTAGGCCCTTCTCACCTGTTGAGCACCAGTATGAAAGAGGTCCCATATCTGTAAGAATTCTTGGCATGGCTATCCTGACTGTCACAGTAGCAGCTAAGTATGGAGTGAGCAGGAAAAGGGGGGCACCATAAGTAATTTAAGCACACGAATCTAGGTCATGCATATAGAACTACTGAACAATGAGCATCCTAATAACAAAGTTATTACAGTACTAGGGTAACCAGCTCTTTATCTTGTCCATTCACATAAATCTAACAAGTGATTCAACAGCTAGACTGGAACACTAACATGAAGCAAAGGTTTAAAATAACATACATTTTGTTTTTCAGGTACACAGTGCAGAGCATCTGCAGCAGCCCTCAGAAAGTATTCTGTTATGTTTAGACCATTTCACACTTGGTTTCTTGACTTGTTCTGAAATTGTGCTGTCCCCCCTACCCCCATTCTTACATGTTGAACTGTTAGGAATTCAGTTAGGGGGCAAAAGATCAGAAAAAATAGTTAATAAATATTTGCTTTAAACATCTTATTTTACTATAATTTCATATTGAAATAGTTTAGACACGATAAAATATTTCATTTTATAACTAATGATTCAGCTTAAGAAGATATTATCAGTACAGTTGAAGGCCCCTGTAGTGCCCCTCCCCAGTCACATTCTTCCTCCCATAGAGGTGAACACTGAGTGATTGGTGTTTTGTCATTCTTACATGGGTCTTTATAGTTTTGCTGTGTATGAATGCATCCATGAGATATAGTACTGCTCTGTATATTTTTAAATGTATATGGCATTACACAATTTCTGTAGATTGGATGTCCCCCCCCCCCAACCTCATTGAAGCTTAAATCCCATTGTAACTGTTGAGGGTGGGAAATCCTATTATGGTAATTCAAAGGTGGGGCCTTGAAGAGGTGATTAGATTGTAGGGCCATGCTGTAGTGAATGGATTAATAATGTTGGCCATGGGTGTGGTTCTGAGGGCTTTAAAAAGAAAGTGAATGAGAAGTTTGCTCTCAGCTCTGCCATTTTCTGCCACATGAGACTGCTGGGTCACTGTCGCCACCAAGACCCTCACCAGATGCTTTCTCTGCACTGTGGCCTACCCAGCCTCCAAAACTATAAGCAATACATTTCATTTTCTTTATAAAATACCCAGTTCCATATATTTTGTTATAAGCAACAGAAACAGACTAATATGTTCTTTTATTTTCTCACTATTTTATTTGCACTGTATTTGGACTATATTGAATTACTCAATTACAAATATTCTATACAACGCTTGTATAGTTGTGAGAGGTTTTATAGTATATGTACATAGTAGTGGAATTTGCGGGGTCATGGGGTCACTACTTTCTAAAAACTAGTTTTACCAGTTTACTCCACCATGAGTTGTCTGAGTTCCTTGCCAGCACTTGGTGTAGCCACACCTTTTTTTTGCTGGAATATAGTAGTATAAAAAGGCATCTCATTGTTTCAGTAGGCATTCACTGGTTTATCAGAGTCAGAGAGCATTCTGCCACTTGTTTATTGCTTCTTGATATCCTTTGTTCATTTTTCTGTTGAGTTGTTTGCGATTTTCTTATTGATTTGTAGGAATTCTTTATATATTCTGGATAGTAATCCTTTGTCACATATAGGTATCTTCTCATCTGTTTGGTATAGTAGAAACTTTTCACAAAGTTTTAACTCATTTATCAGCCTTCTCCTTTAAGGTTTGAGTCATTGTCAACACTTATTGTCCTACTGCACTAAGTGACAGGTAAGGTCTATCTAGACCAATCTGTAATTAAATCTACAAGTAGGTAGGTGGCTTGCCTATCTTTAAAGGACACCTTACTTTTGTCAGCCTACAGTTTTATCAGTGATAACATTGAGGTAGCTGTGGTTCATCAGTTAACACCAGCTATTACACCCTTCCACTCTCATGTTTCCCATTTCTGACAAGTTAGTCAGCCTTCTTGTAATTGCTTTCTCCTATGATTATCTACTACTTGTATTACTGTTTGACGTATTTGTATTCATCATTGTAACTTCCCATTCTATATTAATTAATGAACCTCTGCAGTAGATCAAATGCTTTAATCTTGGTACTAATTTAACATTTTGGCTAGAGACACATTCACTTACTCCTTGAGCACACTTTCTGTTAAGTCCATGTTCTATGGCCGATGTGCCTGTGGGACATCCATGTGAAGTACTTTGTGCACTTGTTGGTTTTTATAACCATCTCCAATCAATAAAAGCACTCATTATTTTCAAAACCTATAGTTTATAACAGAGATAAAATAATGATGCTTTCCTTAGTAAAAGAAAGACAGGGTAGTGAATTATAAAAAAGCTTTCCTTGTGCATTTCAAAGAATATAAAACTGAACAAGATGCAGTGTAAACTTTTATTTTAGAATCCAAACATAATCTTTACAATTTATATACACACATACACGCACACACACAGTCTATATAAGTTAAATGTATATTGTTTAAACAAGAAAATCAGTGTTACTTCATGATTAAGGCACACAAGGAGCGTTACAATTCTGTGTCCATTAGAACATTACCATCCTTGTCCTTAACTCTTATTCGACCAGATGTGTATTTGGTTTCTTGATGACCATTTGTATATACAGTTTTAACTGTGCCATCTGGATATTCCCGTCTCTTGAACTGGGCAGTATGGAGTTCTCTTTGGCCATTATTAAACTCTATGATTTTGTTGCCATCACTGAAAAATTTAAAATAGAATTTAATCTCTTAAAAAATATGAAATATACAACAGGAGAACTATTGAAAAGTAGCCTTTTGATTCTGGCAGTTATTTCTTATCCTAGAGACCTCTCTTGGTCATTTTTCCTACTGCAAATTCTTTCTACAATGTTTCTGCTTCAGGCTGATGGTTGCAGTTATCAGATGGGCATTTATATGTACCCATGAAAAGCTTGTTTTAATAAATTTATATTTTCACCACAAAATGTTTTTTCTTTTGTTTTGGTTTTTCTTATTTTTTCATGTCTTCAGCCTCTAAAAGGAATTGATCATGTATTAAAACTCTGGTTACTTCGGTTTTGACCCTCCTTTTCACTAAGTTGAAAACCATCTGGGTGCATCCTCTATATCAGGTGGGGAAGAGAGCTATATTCCTGGGAAGGGGCATGATCACACTTCAGATCTATTTTGAAACAATGGTACAAAAATTAATATGAAAAATAGTTAACACCAGGTTGATTTCTTGTCTGTGGAACCCCCAAATACAGGTATGATGTGCCATCATAAACATAAGCCTGGGCTAATGACTGACAATCACCACTTCTGAACACAGATAAGCAGATGCTGGCACTGTGAGGTTTTTTTCTATGAATGTCATGGCTCTGTGCCACATACAAGTGAGAGACACAAAGCCACTCACAGCTGCTCCTTGACCAGTGCAGTCCCTGCCCCCCTGAAGTGTAAGCATCACCTGAGAACTTGTCAGAAATGCAAATTACTGGGGTGGAGCCAAGCAAGTTGCATTTAAATAATCCACGTGATTTTAATTCATACTAAAGTTTGAAAACCACTGCTGAAAGTCAAAAATGCCAAAATAATCTTGACTGCACTAGTATAATAATATCTGGAATTTGCCTGAGTATAGATGAAAAAGATTGGTTGTGATGTAATACTGGTTGAAGTTGGATGTATGGGTACCTAGCATTTTCATATTATTTTCTCTACTTTTTTTTTTTTTCCTTTTTGTCTTTTTTTGTGTCCAGCAACGGATCGCAACCCTCAGTGTCACGCCCGTACCGGACTGGGACTGGCAACGGGATCGCAAACCTCGGTGCTGCGCCTGCACCTCGCTCAGCCAGTGAGCGGGAACTGGTCTGTATGTGGGATCCGAACCCTCGGCGGGAGCGCCACTGCGCTCCCAAGCGGCGCACTGTAGCAGTGCGCCACCGGGCCGGCTCTATTTTCTCTACTGTTTGTTATAGAAAATTTCAAAATTAAGAGTTAGAAAACTTGAGAAATTTTTGAAATCATTCAAAACATACTGTCCACATAAGTTTTTCCTCTGACTTTAGAACAAATTGCTATTTACTTAGTCGAGCACCAGATAAAGTTTCAAACCACATTAAGGGAAAAACACTATCATGACGAGTTTCTACATTATCCGAATTAGTGTTTTTACCTTTTTTTTTTTTTTTTTTTGCCAAGTTTATATCACAGGATTCAGGTTAGTTAAATGTAACTATAACATGTTATTTGTATCAAGGTAATGGATATTTAATTGTCACACTCCAGGAAAGGAGGATGAAAACTTAAAATAGGCCACTGGATATGGCAAACCTATGCCCTAGTTTTAATTAAAATGGTGAGCATGAGGAGCTCTTTATCATAGGCTGAAGAAGCGTCTAACTTCAAGAAATGTAACACTCAGAAGGATAAGGAAAGAGGTTGTTGATTTTAAAGAAGTGGATCAGGGAGGCCAGAGTAAAGAACTTATCCAGCTGGGGCAGACAGATCCAGAAATTCAAAACACGAGCAAGAGGAGATACAGTCTAACCGTGGTGCCATTGTTTGGTCATTCTTAAAAACTCACAGGACAACCTTCCTTCTTTCTGTCTCATTCACGTTTTCAAATCTCACCAAACATTTCTAGACAAATACTTGCCATTCCCATTTCCTGGAACGCTGTACGAGTACAGACTACCTCTACAGCTCTAGGCTAAAGACTAACTCTAGATTATGTAGCAAACCCTAACCCTAACCCTAACCCAAGAGCCTACCTATCTCAAACTAGTTCTAAACGCCAAAATGCTGAGAACTTGTCTCACCTATTTTCAAAGTGTCTTTGTTCAGTTATGAACTCACTGAAATTTTGAATGACTTATAGACAAATATTTTAGATTTTTAAATATTCAATTGGTAATAAACACTGAGCCATGAAAATCTAGAAGCAAATTTAAAAGGTGTCATACCGTTGTACTCTGACAATTGTACCATCTGGAAAAATGCTTTCTTCTTGTCCATCAGCAAATAAATTTTTAATAGTCTGGTCAGGAAACGTGATTTCTTTTCTTCCATCTGGGAAATGTTTTTCTGTTTTAAAAAGTTTACCATAAATATTTTTTATTTTTTTATTTTTTTTGTCTTTTGTCTTTTTCCGTGTCCGGCAACGGATCGCAACCCTCAGTGTTGCCCCCGTACCGGACCGGGGACCGGCAACGGGATCGCAACCCTCGGCGTTGCTCCCCATAAATATTTTTTAAAGGAGGGAAAGAATTTAATAAGGAGCAGGCGCAGCGAGTTTGTACCTATTTGTCCGCTGGAGAAATGTAAGACTTCCAGGCCTTGCGGGTAGGTGGTGTGGGTGGTCCCAGCCGCTGCGTAGTAGTAGATCTGTAAAGACACACGTCAGCGCGCCCTTCCCGCAGAGGCAGGGCAGCCACCAGGGAAAGGCCCCTGCGGGGACGTACCACTCTCTCGTCTGGCATGACCTGCTTCACGTCACCGTTGATGAAGGTAAGAGTGACGGTCTTCCCGTCCGCACCCACTTCCTTCCGCGTTCCATTGGGAAACAGAATAAAACGGCACCCGTTGTTACAAACCTTTTCCACCTTAGAAAAGCACAAGTTATCAATAGGTAAGATTTCCTCCTGACACCATGTGATCAAAATATACCTACCTCTCTTCCTAATTGCCTACTTTGATTTCTTAATAATAAAAAGTAAAACATCGTCCAAAAAACACAATGGAATACTACTCAGCTATAAAAACGAATGAAATACTCCCATTTGCAACAACATGGATGGACCTTGAGAGAATAATATTAAGTGAAACGAGTCAGGCAGTGAAAAAGAAATACCACATGTTTTCACTTATTGGAGGGAGCTAAGGTGAATGAATCAATTCACACACATACATACACACACACACACACACACACACACACACTCTCTCACACTCACACAAAAACAAACAGC